GCACCGACCACACTGCCCGCCCCGCCCCGCTCCCCGTAGGGGCCTCAGAAACGGGCATCCCGGAGTGCCGCGCTGGTGCTCGAGCCCGAGCCCCGGCCGCCCTAAAGGGACGCGTGCTGCGGAGGCGGCGCAACGCCTGAGAGCGGCGCGGGGCGGGGAGGAGCCGGAACTCTTTGACGCGGCGGAGGCGTCGAACGTCTGAGGGTCGCGCCGCCATCTTTGGTCCAGTGCGGCGGCGGCGGCGGCGGCGGCAGCGGCGGCAGCGGCAGCGGCAGCAGCGGCAGCAGCAGCAGCAGTGGCGGCAGCGGCGGCCGTGGTGAAGGAGGAGGAGCCGGAGCAGCCGGAGCTGGCGCTGGCATCGAGGGCTGAGCCATGGACGAGGAATACGATGTGATCGTGCTGGGGACCGGCCTCACCGTGAGTCCGCCCTCGCGGCATCGGGGGCCCGTGGCTCCACATCGCGACCACCCATCCCTGCGATGATGCAGTTCCCAAACGACGCCGGCCCGACCTGCCGTCCTCTCCCGTCCCCTCAGCTTCCCAGCCCCAGCGCCGGACGCCCCCGGCTCTCCTTGTCCCCCGAAAAGATAGCCTCCGCCGCCATTCTCTCACAGCATCATTCCTACCCACTGCCGCGTCCCCTTCTCAGCGGGTCCCCCCTCCCGGCCGGCCCCCGCGATCCCGGGCCCGTACCTCCGCCCCTCCCCGACCCTTTCACCCAGCCTGCTAGGCTGGGAAACGCACCCCGCTCGGGCGACGCCCCGATGCTCCGACCCCGCCCACCGGCCCCCCATCTTGCGCTAATCGGGTGGAGGATGAGATATCAGCACCTCGGCTCAGGGTGCCTCGCTGGGGCAGGCCTTCATCCCGTTTCCCCAGCTGTTTCTGGGGCCGGGGGACCCAGCGAATGTTCCAGAAGCAGCAGCAGTGGGGCCAGTGAGCACGTTCCGCTCCCCCACCCTAGTTTCCCATGGCGACCGAGGGCTGAGTCGGATCCGCAGCCTTTGTCCTTGGGTTGGTGACACTGACTGGGGCTTCTTCCCCGTGGCCCCAGCCCGGCTGGATAGCGGCCGCAGACGCGGGCGGCCGGACGGTCGGGGTCGGAACCTTCGGGCCTCGAGGTCTAGCGCGCTCGCCTCGTTTGGCTCATTGTGTCTTAGCTGCCTTCTCCCGGCAGCCCAACCTGGATGGATGCTTTCTGGGTGTGTGGATGGTCTCTACCTCAGCCTCCGGTATTTCTCTTCTTGTTCACTTCCTGGCTCAGCGAGGTTATAAAGGAGAAGTTCCCTGAAGCTCTGGCCTCCGGTTTTAGGTCAGGTGACCAGCCGGGGTGAGGAGGAGCTGTCCACCGGGGCAGGGTCCTTTCCTAGATTTGCTCTCGTCTCGGGTTTTGCGGTGGGGGGCAGTCAGGGCTGCTGGTGGGAATGTGGGGGAGGGTAGTGTAGAGACTGTCACCTCGCCCCCCCCCCCAGGAATGCATCTTGTCTGGCATCATGTCTGTCAATGGGAAGAAGGTGCTGCATATGGACCGGAATCCCTACTATGGGGGGGAGAGCTCCTCCATCACACCCCTGGAGGAGGTGAGGTTCGGCCCCACCCCTTCATCCCTCTCCTCAACCTTCTCATGGGGTTGAGGCAGCTCCCCACGTTCTCTGGGCAACAGGGCTGGGGGCTGCGGAGGGAGGGGATGGCCCTGAGGTATCTCTCTTTCTCTCCTCTGCTTGTAGCTGTATAAGCGTTTTCAGTTCCCGGAGGGGCCTTCTGAGTCAATGGGCCGGGGCCGAGATTGGAATGTTGACCTGATCCCCAAATTCCTGATGGCCAATGGTGAGGGGGACAAAGAAGGTATCGGGGGGGGGGTGATTGGGAAGACCAGAGGCAGGTCAGGCTCTAGAGAAGGAGTAGCCAGGCTAGTTAGAAGGAGGGAGCTGTGCCGACGTTGCTGCTTTCCTTCGCCTGCAGGGCAGCTGGTGAAGATGCTGCTGTACACAGAGGTGACCCGCTACCTGGACTTCAAAGTGGTAGAGGGCAGCTTCGTCTACAAGGGGGGCAAGATCTACAAAGTGCCGTCCACTGAGACCGAGGCCTTGGCTTCCAGTGAGTGCGGGTTCCCTGGGCCAGAGAACAGTGGGAAGTCAGGGAGGGAGGCTGTCCTTAGGAGGGGTGGAAAGGTCCAGGGCAGGGTGCTCCCGACCCAGGCTTCCATTTGCCATGCAGTACCAGAGGCCGCTGGCTCTGCTCCCTGGTTGCCCACTGCGTCTCAGGGCTTGTTGCCGGGAGGAAGTCCAGACGTGGGGAGGTGTGGAGGGGCCTCCTGTTGAAAGACTTCAGCCTCTGAAAGAGTTTTCACTTGATCTGTGAAACATCCCCAAGTGTTAGAGCCGGAAGGGTGCTTAGAGCCTGTGCAGCCCAGCTGGTCTTTGGATAGATGGGGAAACTGAGGTCTGGAGAGGCGGAGAGATTAATCTAAGTAGTCAGTGACAGCACTCAGTTGGGAGCTCGGGGTCCTGGCTTCTTGTGCTAACCTGGTGGGAAGAAGGGGTTTATGGTTTAGTGGCGAGAGGATTCCCCTCACGTCTTTTTCAGATCTGATGGGCATGTTTGAGAAACGGCGCTTCCGCAAGTTCCTGGTGTTTGTGGCAAACTTCGATGAGAATGACCCCAAGACCTTTGAAGGGGTTGACCCCCAGACTACCAGCATGCGTGATGTCTACCGGAAGTTTGATTTGGGCCAGGACGTCATTGACTTCACTGGCCATGCCCTGGCGCTCTATCGCACTGATGAGTGAGGGGAAGCTGGGATGGGGGCGGCCCCCTTCCTCGAACGCTGCCCTTGACACACCTGCCTTCTGCGTCCCCTGTACTCAGCCACCCACTCAGCTGTTATTCCTGCGTGTGACCCGTAGTTCTTCCCCAGGGGGTGGGGAGGCTGGCCCAGTGCCGGGGTGGGGGTGAGCCGGGGTGGGGTTCTGCTATTTGAGAATCTTCCTGTGCTCCCTCAGCTACCTGGATCAGCCTTGTCTCGAGACCATCAACCGCATCAAGCTGTACAGTGAGTCCCTGGCCCGGTATGGGAAAAGCCCGTATCTCTACCCTCTCTACGGCCTCGGTGAGCTGCCCCAGGGATTTGCAAGGTGAGGGCGTGGCTTTCTTCAGTTGGTATTACCCAGCAGAGCTAAGCGCAGACGATAAAATGGCCACCTTAAGTACCTCGTAGCGATTTCACTCTCTCTGTGACTTGAATTTACTTTCTGCGACACTTTGGAGGTGTGGGCAGAGCAGCAGTGGGTTGATGCTAGACGCAAAGAGCGAGCTCTCCACTAACCTGGATTGCGCAGCTCACAGTTTGAGTCTGAGGCAGCACTAGGGCTGGGCCCTGGGGCCCCAGAATCTTTATTCAGGGCTCAGTCAATAGCTGGCTCTTCTTCGGAACTTCCTTGGTTTTTGGTTCCACGGGCCATTTCCATGTGGAACTGTACTCTCGTGCCACCCTCACGTAGTCCTCTGGAGAATACTTTGGGCAGAAGCTCCAGAGAGGAACGAGTGCACTGAGTTCAGCCCTGAGTTTGTGGCAGTGGCAGAGCTGCTGGGACAAGCAGCTGGGTTTCTGGTCTTCTGCCCAGCCTGGGGCGGCCTTCTCTGCACCCCAGGGACAGGGTGGGGAATGGGGCAGTGGCACCAGGTGCCTGCTGCTCCTGGCAAGGAGACTTCACCCCCACCCCGACCCCCACCCCCAGATTGAGTGCCATCTACGGCGGGACATATATGCTGAACAAACCTGTGGACGACATCATCATGGAGAATGGCAAGGTGGTGGGTGTGAAGTCCGAGGGAGAGGTAAGCCGGCTCCCCTGACAGCCACTCTGCGTTCTCCATGCAGTGCGGGCAGACCAGTCTGGGCAGGGCGTGGCCAGGCTTTACAGGGGCTCCGTGTTCCTGGTGATTCTGACTGGGGGGTCTGCTGCTACTTAGCGCCGAGGGCCTGTGTGCTAGGGACTTGGGGTACAGAAGCACTCTCTGTAGTCATTCCTGTCAACAAGAGATGTCTAAAAGCCTGTGCACTGTGTAGGTGGTCCAGAGTGTCCCTAATCACGGTGGCTCAGCAGCGGGGGTTAGCCCAGCTCTGTGCCTCAGGGCCTGTGTCCCTGAGCAGGCTGGGAGCCTCGTGCAGAGCAGGGCTGTGTGTTGCAGGAGGGGCAGGCAGTGACGGCTCAGAGAGGCCTCTGCCTGCTGGAGCTGCCACCCCTAGGTTTGGGCCCTGCCCTCTGACCACCTAGGGAAGTGATAGGACCCAGGACCAAGTTCTCCTGTGCCTTCACAGGTGGCCCGCTGCAAGCAGCTGATCTGTGACCCCAGCTACATCCCGGAGCGAGTGCGGAAGGCAGGCCAGGTGATCCGGATCATCTGTATCCTGAGCCACCCTATCAAGAACACCAACGATGCCAACTCCTGCCAAATCATCATCCCCCAGAACCAGGTCAACAGGAAGTCGGGTAAGCAGAGCCCC